ATGGTGCTTAATTGAAAATGTTTGGAGGACTTCTCATATTGTAACTTTCTGTTCCAAATAAATAGCACATCCCTAAACATGAATTCCAAAATGAGTGATTCAATGTCTCCTATCACATGGGAAATAAGATTCAATGGGACGCAGTATAGGTTGAATGATGTTTATTTAGAGAGAAATCACTTACATCTGAAATAGATGACTGCCACAGGTTCCCACTCCAAGGATGCTCTCTGCAGCCTGACCATGAAGCAAGAGAGTGAGCTGGGGTCCAGGACCCCAGATCTAGCCTCTCCAAAGGTCACGCATCACCTGTGCCCACACCCCAATGGGCATGGTCAGTGCAACAGTGTAGGAGGGTTGGATATCTCACTACAATACCCCTTTTCTTCTAAAGAAAAGATTTAGGCTTGATACAAAACTATATACAAAAACTATATACAGTAAATATCAATTATGGTCTAGAAGAAGGAAAAGTAAGAACATACACACTTAAGACCTATGCCCCAATGAGCATGGTCAGTGCAACAGGTGTGGGCAGGGTGGATATCCCACTACAGGCCCCCAAACAACACAACATAAAAATCACACAGGAAAACAAAAATCAAGTGTCAGTCTGTGGTAACACACTCCTTTAATGCCAGTATTTGTAGTAGGATCTTTGAGTTCAAGGCCAGCTTGATCCCCAAGATAGCGAGGGCTACAGAGAGACCCTGTCTCAAAAACAACAACAGTAAAAATATGTTTCACGAATGTAACTCTGGCAAATTAAGAAGAAAATATGAAGCTGTGTTTTTTTTTGGGTTTTTTTTTTTTTTTTTTGTAAAAGAGATAAATTATGACTTCAGTTGAAAAAATCTACAGATGGTGAGAATGTGGCATGTTATTACTCTTTGAATATGTGTTCCTAGGGTAGGGAAAGCTTGATTAATTCATTAATTCAAGCATACTAATTGAGAAAAATGAGGATAGCATTTCCGTTTTCTAGACAACAAAATATGAAATAGAGCAAGTTTCAATGTACCATTTTCTTAAGTTTTTCACCATTTCACACAGAGGTATCTGTTTATGAAGGTTTTAAGAACTGAGATAAGAAAAGTTTTAACAATTCTGATGAAAAAGAACCAAAGGGCAAGGAAGGCAGCCAGAAATCTCAGGGGACTATGATACAAGGACAATTCACTATTGATGATCAAAGACAGCAGACACTTTAGATACACTGAATAATAATGTCTACAGATAGGTTATAGACATTGATGCAAGGAATTTGCTAAAAGTAAGAAATTTATAACACAAACAGCAAAATGTATAAGAAAGAGCTCTCTAAATTACCACGACTGGTGGGCAAGAAGATCCTTTCTTATGCTCCCAGTAGGAGGGTCTTCTAGTACAATTTTTCTGGAGAATATAAATTGTTTGGCCATGTTTTACTAAAAGTATTTAACCCATTTTCATTCATTCAGATCTCTTTACCTCTTTATAGTTAAGAAGCAGAACTAAAGATTTATATGCACATTCTGTTCCAAGAGTGTAATTTGTGGCACAAGATAGAATAAACAGCCACATGTATTTCTAAGAAATAATTATTTATTTTGCTACAACTAAAAATCTTAATTACTGTGCAACCAGAAGGGTACAACTGTATAATCAGACAATAATTTTCAAGATTGTCACTATAACAAATAAAACTGCATTTAGTTTGTGTTGAATAACAAATTGATGTGGTAAAGGATTAAGCAATTTTAAACAACACCTCTAGAGTCCAGAGCACTGAATCAGGAAATTATATGACACAGGCAGGCCTGGAACTTATTATATAGTTTCAATCCACTCACTGTCAAACACAATTAACTGTGTTTGTTTCTATTTCGTTGTTTTTTGGGGAAATTACAATGAAAATGCATTCAATACTTTTTAGCACTTTCTCTGTTTAAGTATGTTCACATAATTAACTGTTTATGGAATAGCATAAATACTTAATTTCTAAGATACATACATGAAAATTACATTTATTTTTATTGAGTTGTTACTACAGATAACACATAGGGTTATACACCTTAAGTATTTGTCTACCCATGTATTTAAGGGTATGAGAAATTTTTGTTCTGATTATTGATTTATTCTGGCCTAGTTTTACCCCCTTAAATTTGATTGGGAAAAACTGTATCAGATAGGATTTTAGATATTATAATAAGCATGCCCAAAATATCAGTTACTTGAACAACGAAAGTTTCCATCCATGTTACACACCATGGGATTATTAACAGAGCTGACCTCTGAGACCCAAGCTGAGGGACCAGCACTTGTCTCCAGCACATCTTCAGGGGGAATTAAATGGCAAATCCTTCCATACCTCTCAAAGCTTTTGCTTTGGAAGGAACACACATTAATTTTGGTCTTAGTTTTTGAATAAAGTCAGAATCATATACAAGAGGTCCTCAATAAAGTTAAAAATGCACTTTTAACTAGAGAAGAGTTTAAAGCTAATATGTAGCCTATCTAAAACTGCTTTTAGTTTTTAATAAAAAAAATAGGTGAAATAAATGAAAAGTGGCCGCTACTGAGATTCAGAAACCAAGATGAATAAGCTTACAGATACACCAACTACAAGGAATACATGTACTTCAACGAAGTGGTATCTACAGGCAATGGAGAATAGAAGATAAGAAATTACAGACTGCATAAGAATTTGAAGAACTTCTGAGGCATCTGATCTTTAGACAGAACAACTCCACTTACTTATTGCCATCAAAAGGAAGAAATACAATTTGATTTCCAGTGGGACATACACCTGCCCCTATAGAACATTCTACTGGGAATAGTCTCGCAGTAGGTGGACTGATAGTGCTCTCAAGCTTGAGAATTGATGGTGCTTGTAATTGTTTTTTTCACTCTTGTAATCACAGCTGTGGTGGGTATTCATTCAAAACTGTAAAACTGACCCTTTGAAAGCTTTCATATGGGATGTTTCTGTCAGAGACACCAGTCACAGTGGCATGGCTCACAGATGAGCACGACAGAAAAGTGCACTGACCATGGATTCAAGTGTTAGATGGGCTTTTGTTTCTTAGTTTCCCTCTCAAACTTCCACAGGGAACAGCTCACCCACAAATACCTCCATTATTCTTAAGGAAACTAGTGATGTGTATTATTTATTTATACAGTGCTTCTAGAAGCTTGGTCAGGTTACACATGTGTATTCAGCATCCTTTTGATACAATATATTCTAACTATATTCTGCTCCTCTGAAAGTGTACCTAAGAAGTTATCCTTGAGAAACATGGGAAGTCAGTGTGTATTTGAAACCAAACCTACTCAAGCTTATTAAAGATTAACACATAATTCCACAGAAAATTCCTTGTACTTGTTCTGCATATTAGAGTCTAGACAAAAAAAAGTGATATATAAATTTAAAGAAAATTTTAGATAGTTACAAATAATTTAGGAGGTTTTCATATTTATCCATTATACAAGTTGTCATTTTTAATATCAACATGGATATTTTAATAATTTTTCAGGTTTTTGTTTGTTCATGTTCTATTTCTACTAGTAAAAATTATTTGATATTTTAAACCTCACAAAATGTACACTCTTGACTTAAAAAATTCTTTAAGTTCTCAACACACATGCATACCCTTGTCCTGTGTTTGGGACCATACAGCAACAGCAAAACTCACCTTAATATTCTAGAGTGAAAACAACTGGAAAACGGTTCTTAGAAATAAAATATATTTTGAGATGGTGCTATTTCCACATTTCTCTCAAGATTTCCCCTTTGGAATTATCCCCATTACTATAATAAAATGATAAAATATAAACATTTAAAAATAAATAACAGGGACACTGCTTGGTTTAGCCTGCCACACTCAATTCTGTCACCGAACACAATGATGAGCCTTTCCAGAGTGAAGGTGGAGAGATTATGTCAGTTCCCAGCTGCAGACTGAAAATGTGGGTGACAGCTGTTTGAGGGATAGTACAATTTCAGCCTTTGGAATTCCAGAAGCCTGACAAGATTGCTCATCCCAACATGAAAATATTTTAGATTGCATGGAGCAAAGTCTCCTGTCTAGGTTATTGCTAGAAGATGGGGATATTTGGAATATCCTCCTACCCATACCTCACCAGCCTATGCATAAAATGCATACAATTAGTGTTCATAACTGTATCATTCCATGATTATATAAAAATCTCATCACTTTAAATACTAAAAAGTTAAACTTCATGTTATATGAAGTATATCTTAGTAAATAAGCACATTAAAAAAGAAGAACATAACAGAAAATCACATTTTTTTTAATCTAAATTCAAGTCCTTTTCCATTTTCTGTCCTGAACCAAATTTCTTGTAGTCTCTACAACCAGCTCCTCTAAAAGCATGTGTCAGATTGACTGTTATTCTCAAGTGAGGGATGACTTCATACTTCGTATTTTGATGGATCAAAAAGGATATTCTTCCAGATAAGTTTTCCCTTATCCTGGTTTGTTTTTCCTGATCTGAGAGTAAAAGCACACTCGAGGATAAATTACTTCTCAAGGAGCAATGTATGCATGCATTTTTATACAATGCTTTTCCAAGTGAACAATACCCAACAAATAATGGTATTGAGTTTCATAAATGTCACTGGGCAATCAGATACTCGAGTTAAGAAAACTTTAAGCAAACCTCTCAACTGTGTTTTTGTTGTTTTTTTAGTGTATTTAACTGAATGAAGCTAAAGTGAAATTCAATAACCTGAAGTAGAGAAAACTCTCTCTCTCTCTCTCTCTCTCTCTCTCTCTCTCTCTCTCTCTCTCTCTCTGTGTGTGTGTGTGTGTGTGTGTGTGTGTGTGTGTGTGTGTGTAACAGAAGACAAAAAGAGAGTTTACCAGTTATGAAAGAGCAACATTATTCCTGCTTTCAGTGATCTCAGCTACTTTCTTCATAAGGTGCATGTGGACAGCATTCATTTGCCTCATGCTGTTGGCAAGTAATGGCGATCCATGGCAATTGGCTTCACTCACCTCTTCCAGAACAAGGCAGTTCAGAGCCACTCTGGCACTTCCTGGTGCTCTCCTCAGCTGACAATAGGCAGGACCTTGGGTGCTCACAATTCTTTCCATACCAGCCTGCTCTGCAATCACATCGTCCACAGTTACACTGCCCATGACCTTCGTAGTTAGGGAGAGGGGGAGAGCACACAAAGCTTATGCAACCAGAGATAGTTTATAGCTTTTATTCTAGCAATGACTTTCAGGAGTAAGACATGATCTTAACTAACACATCACTAACCATTAAGGCAAAGGAACACTTTTTTTCTCAAATTAAAAAAAAAAAACTGATGTACATTAATGGATCACAAAGAACAAACAAAGAAAAGCAACAAGTATGGATAAAATAAATGGCTTAATAAAGTTTTGAATTTGAGCCTATCAAAGTTTAGATAAATGTGATTGTATTGGTCTACTAGGAAGTCTATGGATTTGCCTATTAATTCATGTAAAGGAGAATAACAGGATACAGAACCCAATCATCTTTTGAAGAGGTTTTTGTTCGTTCTGATGATTATATATATATATATATAATGTTTTAATCCATGGAAATGAGCATAGTGAAAGTACATAAAAGTGATGCTGTTCTCCATATACTCATTATGAGTATATGCCATAAACCTAATGACAGATCTCTCACCCAACACAGGTGCCTATGAATACTCTAGATCTATCTCTGTACAAACCTAAAGTTCATAGAGCACAGTAATTTGTATTCACCATGAAGAATGCTATGACTTTTGGACTTATCTGTAACTTTAAAAATTTATATGCTTTGATAAGTAATTCCCATTCTTTGGTGTTTGGTAACCACCCTTCTATTGTTTTTAAGAACTTAATATTTGGAGGCTGGAAAAATAATTCCACAACAGTTAAGAGCACTTGCTAATCTTCCAGAGGACCTGGGTTAGCATTTTAGCAATGGCATGATGGTTCACAACTATCTGTAATTCCAGTTCCAGGGGATCCAATGCCCTTTTCTGACCTCTGTGGGTACCAGGAAGGCAAATAATATATGTACATACATGCAGGCAAACATTCACACAATAAAATAAAAATTGTGCAACTCTAATAAAAATTATCTAACATTTTTAGATTCTGTACAATTATGTTCTATGGCTACTATATTCCAGTTAACATAATGTTTTCATGGTCCAGTCATATTATGCAAATGCCAAATTTCTTTTATGGAGAACATTATTCTACTATATACATCTATATCTATGTATAAATATATCCTTCATACAGTCATCTAGCTACTCTTATTAAGATTTACATTTCATAAACCATTTAGTTCTGTGGCACTTTGCAGTTTATCTCAGCTTAAGAAATTATTAGCTATTAACTGATTATTAGTTTTAACTGTCAACTTCACTAAGCCTAGGGTCACCTATGAAAGAGTCTCAATTGAAGGATTCTCCAAACAGATTGATTCTTGGGCATGACTGTGGGGGGCTGTCTTGATTTTTAATTGTTACAGAAGGACCTAACCCACTATGGGCAGAAGCATTCCCTAGGCAAGTGGTCCTGAGCCAAATAAGAAAGATAGCTAAGTGTGGGTCTGTGAGAGGGCTGGCAAGAAGCCTTCCAAGTCTATGATTTCTATTTCAACTTATTGCTTGACTTACTACCATGATTCCACTCCATGGTGCATTGTGACCTGGAAGTGTAAGGCAAACAAACCTTTCCCATTCCTAAGTGGCTTTGGTCAAGGCATTGGTCAACTACAACACCATCCTTCTTCTCGATGAACACAATTCATTCTGCTGTTTTACAGGAGCAAGTGGCTTTAAAATATTTGGACACAGGCAAGAGATTAAGTTCAGGGACTGTTAGATTTGTAAGGACACAGTACAGGACATGCTGCCATTTGTAGACTAGTTGACATTCTTAACAGTGAAATTGAGGGGTGGTTAGATTAAAGGAGGAAAAGTCTTACTTTTTCTTGGAAGTTTTAAAACTGTAAACACCTGAGCAAAACACCTAGTAGATGAGAATGTGGTTAAATACCTGTAGTTGTGACCCACAGGCATTCACAATCAGGGAGAATCTTCCCCCACCCCTGAGGAAGAACCTATCCAATCCAGAGAAGGCAAAAGAAGCAGAAACCCTGGAGGCAAGTGCAGAGAGAAGGCAAGGACTGCAGAGAGATAACGTTGTCAAGCTGAAGTCAGAACACATGCTTAAATCTTGTAATGATTACTTTCTATCTGAAGTTCATTTATATGGCAACATTAACAAAGAAGATGCAGGTATGATAGCACATATCATTAATGCAGAACTGAGGATACAGCAGACCAGGCAGGCAGATGTCTTAGTTCAAGGCCAGCTTGATCCTCATAGGGAATTCCAGATCAACTAGAGCTACAGAAAGACCCAGTCTTGGGTGGAGGAAAGTGGCATAAAAGAGCCTAAAGATGGCCATAAGTTATTAAGAAGAGGTTTTAGAGTTAGAATCTGTTCCAATCACTAACAAAAGAAATTATATTAATTAAAGAGGGCTTAATGCTATTTTTATTCATATTTTAAATTACATTTATTCAGCGGGGAGCAGGCATGTATACCACAGTGAACAAGTGGAGGTCAGAGGCCAATTTGAAAGGAATCTGTTATTTTATTCCTTAATATGGGTTCCAGAAATTAAACTAATGTAGGGCTTGGTAGCAAGTGCCATTTCCCACAGAGTCATGCTATTGGTTCCTCAATGCTGTTTAACAAATTGGAAATGCTTTTCACCTAGGAAAAAAAATCATGTTGGGAATTTTTCCATTAAGCCTTCATGTTCACTTTCTGTTTCATACTGGGTCTATTTTATTCAATAAATTTTTATGACATGGGATAATGTTCTTGTACACTGTAAAGATTTGTCTCTCGTATTAATAAAACACTGATTGGCCAGTAGCTTGACAGGAAGAATAGGCGTGGCCACCAAACTAGTAGAATTTTGGTAAGAGGAAGGCAGAGATGCAGTTTCCAGCCAGATGCAAAAGAAACAAGATGAGCATGTCTTACTGAGAAGAGGTACCAAGCAATGTGGCTACACATAGATAAGCACCGTGGGCTAATATAAGTTGGAAGAGCTTATTAGTAATAAGCCTGAACAATAGGCCAAACAGTTTATAATTAATATGAGCCTCTGTGTGTTTGTTTTCTGTGTCCTTCATGGGGCAGAGGAAGATGTAGTCTGTGATCTGCACCACAATGTCTGGTGTGCTTGCAATATTTGGCTTTGTGAAGATCTTGAGGATGACCCTATAAATTTAGATTTCATCCCCAGGCATTTCAACCCTAGCTTTCGGCAACTCAAAATCCTCTATAATCAGTTATTTACTCAGCCACATGGGTTCAAAGATAGTGTTGTGGCCATGACTGGCTCTGAGATCACAGGCATTGCCCTTGAACAGGAAGTACCAAGGTGGGAGAATACTGTCTGGATCAAGATGAATGCTCACTCTCCTGAACCATCTGGGTATGTATATGTGTTTTCTTTTTTCAGTTTTTCCTAAAGGATTCAGTATTGGCCAACAATGTTTAATCTAGGAGACATTAAAACAGGAGAGCAGTGCATAAGTCATACAAGATGTATGACTTCTCAAGATCTGGTGAACATACAGCAGCTGGTGTAAAAGAGGAAATCTCAACATGGCATATCTCTGTGTGTTTTAATGCAGGGGAACAATATATACTTCATCAAATATAGCAGTGAGGAGCACACAAGAAGTAAATATAAGAGTCATGGGAAAGTTTCTGTAAACCCAGCCTGCAATGATGAAAAATAGAATTAACATTGGCAGTGCTATGGCTTCAGTCTGTAAGCTCTGTACTCTGGAGGCCGAGGAAAGATGACTGTTTCTGGCTTAATGTCAATCTGTGCTTCACAATGAGTTCTAAGCCAGACCTGCCTGTAGAGTAAGACTAAATCTCAAAATAAATAAAGAAATAAAAGTGTACCCTTGACTAAACATTTATTCAAGATTAACTATTATAATTTTCAAACACGATTTTTACTTTCTCAGTAGCGAAAAACCTTCTTGTGTGTTGATTTCAAGAAGTCTGTTCTATGATGTCAAAATAGATTTCAGAGTTTTAGCGATTTTATTCCAAATAAAAATTTGGATTTTGAGCCATATAGTCAGAAACTTGTTTAGAAGTGTAAAGCATTGACACCAGATTGCCAGGAAGTGGCTGAGTCAGAAAAGCACTTGGAAGTGCCACGGATTGATATGATCTCTGAAGCAGGCACTAATGCCTACAGAGGAAACTATGAAGTAACAATGTGGCCTCTCTTCTGGAGTTGCTAATTCCTCAATTCCAACCAAAAAAACCCAGCTAAAGAGAAAGGGATCATTGAGGAGAAATAAATTCAGGAAGAGAAAGGCTTGCGTTTGATTAAAAACCAAAACAAACAAACAAACAAAAAAACACAAGAATTTAAAGTAAAACAATCTATTTGGCATGAGAATGAACTGGTTAGTCTGTTTAACACACTGGAATATATTACTAGATCTTTTAAAGGCAAATATGGAAGAAAATGCTTAAAACAAATAAAAATAGGTGTTTGCCATTGACTTAAATGTGCCACCGTCCTTTCCTAGGCCTCATCAGAATTTAATCTGACTTTCAAGTAGAGAGAATTTAATACCCTGATCACAATGTAATGCTTCCAGGCTGGTTTGTCAAATCTGTGTATATTTTAAGCCTTTAGGAGTTAGTCTCATTTCTTCTAATAAGTGTTCTTTAAACTGCATAGGCAGATCAACAAAATCGAAATGAAAGATGCAGGATGTTATTATTTATTTTCTGATCTCAACATCAAAAGAATTAAAATGAGAAAATCTTTCTCAGATACCCTGCACACATATGTACATGGACAGACACACACACACAAACACACACCTGCACACATATACATGTACACACATGCATATACACACACATGAATATATGCATATGCATGTGTACAAACACATTCACACAGAGATATGTTTGAGTATAGTCTACCTACTGCAAATGTGACTGCTGTCCAGGCTACCACCCATGGTCAAGAAGGTTCACAGCATGACTCCTAATCCAGAAATATGATGGCCATGCAGAGTAGGCACCACAAATTCTCAGACTAT